CCTCGCCTAGGTATTATCAACACCCTCATCGAGGCTCGAACTGACAATGCAGCGTGTAATCTTGACACTTTAACAACGACGCGACATCGCTAATGTCGATGTTCTCTTATAGTGCATTTACTTAAAGAGAAGGCGGAGTAACAAGCAAAATCGAAGATGGGTCTGTGGGATAGCTAGCTTACTCAAGTAATGCATCTATTCAGGAATATGAGGAGTTCTATGGGAATTTAAAAAAAGTTTTAATTATATTGTATTAATGATAAATTATTGATTGAAGTACATAAGACTAATGAACGAAGTTATTTCAGGCACTAAGAAAAAGCTTACAAGAAACAGATTCGCGAAAAAGTCCCATTTTGGTCCAAACCCAAGTCATTCATTTAAAGCGAGAGCCAGGCCGGACTATTGCATTAATGGGAAGACTGCTCTCTAAGTGAGGAAATTTAATTTTGTCAACTTACCACTACAACTTTTTACAGCCACCGAAATGTAGCATAGTCGAGTAATGGCCGCCACTTGCTTCTCCAGAAGGCCAAGTAGAGGGCCGCAGCCATAGCAAAATGCCTCCAGCAGAAGCCCGAAGCGAAGACGGGCATCAGGAAGATGAAGTTCAGATTTGAGGTACCAGAAAAAGGGTAACCCGATTACAGTAGGACTGATGAGAGCACGGTGAAGAAGAAATTGAGCCAATGGATTGTCAAGATATGCTTCGCATTTGAGTGCCTTTTGCCCAAAACAAAAAAACGAGATATGAATGTAAGGCAAAAAATGAGTACTGCCAGCAAGAAGCATATATAGTTTCCATTCAAGTATTCCTCCATTATATGAATGATATACCTAAACCGGAGTTAAAACAACTAAGAACTAATATCCACAGAAATTGACTTAAAGCAGTAATCCGAACGAAGACGTGAGAACATACAATAAAGACGAGAAGTAAATAACAATATTTATTTCAATGAAATGTAGAAATATTTTAAAGAAATCAAATCTTTCTCCGGGTTAAATTCTCTGAGTAAGAGGGGCTTTGAGTAACAAGAAAAATATGCCCAAGGGCTGGCTTGACTCGGGAAACCTAAGTTATCAGGTGTATGAATTTACCGATTATCCCAATAGTTGTGTCAGCCTAGCATAGAAACGACAGGGATGGGCGATGCTAGAAAGATTGGCCACACACCTGAACCAGCTGAAGGAGATAGTTCGCCAGCTCTTGGTCAGATAGATGTATCAGACAGGAAACTGCTAAGCGGCGCAGCCAAGGGTCCGCAACGCCGACAGCGCACACTGCTCGGCCATCGGTCGCCAGCCACCGGTTTCCTGATCCGGAAGGTGGCGTTGAAGACGATTGAGCTGAGTTTGAACCAACCGCTGAGGAAGAGGTGATGATCGAGGAAGTACCTTCGGCACATCCGGCAAGCAACTGGAGTGCCGTCTCGTGACAAATTGCATCCGATGGGGCGGGGGAGGATAGGGTAGGACTTGAAATGGTGGCATGGGTGTTGGTTGGGAGGATAAGCGGCCAGCGAGCGAGCTGCTGATAAAAGGTAAGACGAGATTGCAAGCTGAACCAATTGACAGCCTGAGAGAGACTGGGCAGGGCAGAAGGAACTCGACGGCGAATAGTGGCTCTACCAGCCCAAAAACGGCGGCGCTCCTCGTCTCCCAACTCCAGCAAAGGGTCGTCAGAGACCATTCCACGCAATTCTAGGCCCAGGCGAATGTCATTCAACCTTTCGCTGTCACGTACGTCCATATCCTCGCGATCTATAAGGTCTTCAGATGCTGACAGCAGATCAGAATACTGCCCGAGAGTACTCCTGCTTGAGGAGTATGAAACAGAGCTCCTTCCGGTGGCTTCCTCGAAGGTGGAACGGGCAATCGGATGGACGCCTGGAAAACGTCTTGACTCAGTGGGCTTTTCCAACGACTGAGGAGCAAACACAAGGTTGCGAATAAAGGCAAATGGAGGGTACCGAATCCGCCGAGAGGGAACTGGATCAAGAAACTCGATCTAAATGAAAAATAGGATATCGACATTTTATTAAGAATTGAGTAAATTTTTAAATAGTCATCAAATGGATGTGTATGCACATTTTTTTTAAATAAAAAAGCTTTAGAAATGAAGCTTCTTAAAAACAAAATAAACCGCCTTTTGGGGGGATGCACAGATGACAAAGTAATTCTCTGGTAGGAGATAGAATAGAAGAAGTGAGAAGGGATTCCATCTATCAAAAATAGGGAGTCTCAGAGAACCTGAGCAGTGTTGAGTTGTCTTCATTCCATGCTGTGTGTGATGAGGGAATAGGTACGCAATGATATATTCCCCGGTGTATGTTGGTTTTTAGTGCTACTAAGACGTCTAGTCTGAAACGGTCCTCGAGACACCCTCCGTCGATTCCAATGAAAACGTATTGATATTCAATATTAAACATATGACACATTAGAGATGTGACAAATTCAAGCTTTAAACCAGTCATGAAAACCAACTGGCCCATCCAGACCATATTTATGTATATCTAGACCTAATTTTAGGCGTAAAATGAATCTCCTAATTCTAATCATCAATCTATATATTTTAATTCTGTGTGAATGTATATCTGGGTGTATGAGTAGTTGTGTGGTAATTCAAG